CGGCACAAAAAGTGAGAAAGCACGTGCTCAGGGGGAGTCGGAGGTAGGGGGGGGGGATGCGCGGCTGCTGTGGGCTGATGAGGTGGCTGTTCTATGATCGACCCAGCAGAAAGACATTCTTGGCACGAAATGTTGTTTGTGGAAGTAAAACACCAAAACCTTGTTGCTTGAAAAGGTTATTTGTGAACATTAACCACCAAGACTTGGAACACCCCGGAACACCATTTGCACAAAAAAGTTTGTGAAAGCAAACCACCAAAGGAGTTGGAGCACTCCCAACCCAACGGCAAACTATTGAGAAAGCAGGGATTTTCGAAATAGAAGGTCTTGGGCCAGAGAAAGAATTTGGGACAAGAAGGGATTGGAGGGAGTGATATGTGTATTCTCTTGGGGACGTGCCCTATGACTATCTGCTAAGCCCTGGACTTTGTGAGCAAGGTTTCAAATTTTTCTTCACAAAATATTGCCAACGCTTTGGTGCACATCGATGGCCCTGGTGGTAACAAGCGAAAGTCATTTGTCCCTTCTTGTCATCAATGTTTGAACCATATTTCACCACTGCAGTGGGTTGTTGCGATCTGATCAGAAGAAAACACATAGGACCAAACGGCCACAAAATGGGCGCATGTGGTGAAAACAGTGTGACTCCGTGCAAGTGTTTGTCACGTTGATGATTCGATGTGCCTGCGCTTCAGAATGACGGGCTCTTGGTGTGCTTCCAAACGGGCAAAGTCACTGACAGGGGTGGAAAGATTTGCATCTGATGAACTAGTTTGAGGTGCAAGTGAGGGTTGCTTTGGCACCTGGGCTGGGCACTGAACAGGCGGCGTATGGTTTTCCCGAGGGACATACATTTTGAACCGCAGAAATCTGAAGTTGTCACCGCATTGCGAGCAAAGCAGCTTGGAAACGTCTTTCAGGCGTTGGAGCGTCAAATTGAAGGCTGAGTGTCCGGAATAAGGAGCGTGGATCTTTCGAGGAGGGGTGAAGGATGTTTCATTCGATCGCTGCCATTGGGAGAGCATGGTTGTGGCAAGGTGGGCGGGGATCGGGAACGGACTGGCCTCTGCTTCCTGGGCACTAGCCAGGACCCATTTCGCCGGGCGAAAGGGACTCTACTACGAGGCCTTCAACGACGGGGCCAATTTTGCGCGATGGCTGTCGATGGAGTACGCGGGCACATGGGTGGGCGGGGAGGGATTTTGCATTCACACGGGTTGGGCCACATGGCAGGGGCAGGGGCAGGGGCTTCTTTTTTCCACCGGGTGGCGTCTTCCTTGGCCGAATTTTGGCAGCCACCGGGCCCAGACGAAAATCCAAGCGCGGAAGTACCAAGCAGGGAGCATGGTGCGAGGCCATGTTCCCGTCGTCCACCCAGCCAGAACGAAGTTTGTTCTTACGCCGAATTTGCGAGCTGCTCGTGAATGAGTGACTTTGGGGCAACAAGCCCGTGCGCGAGAAAAGACGCACAGGTCTGCTCCCAAGCGCGGCGCTTTAAGAACGGCTGGCTCAAAAAAGTTGCATATGCCTTTGCCGACGTTGGTTTTCGCCGTCAGGACAGTGAGGACTTATGCATATGAGTCGATGGGGCTCTGGGGCGGGGCCCCTGGATGGGCCGCAGGCCGGAGTTGGAGTGCGCGGGAACTGAACTCGAGGTGGGCGTCTCTGGCCGCGAATTTGAGCGGATTTTAAATTCATGGTGTTTTTTTTTTTGCGGACATGGAGTTGGAACGATGGAGGTGATGGGGACGGGCGTGAGGGCGGTGGATTCGGCGGTCGCCGGCAACTGTTGGCTGCGGTGGTTTGCGGTGGGATTATGCTCAGCCTGTTGGTGACGGAGGCGAGGCGACAAAAAGAGGAGGCTTGGGCCGCCGAAGGGGGGCATGCAGTTGGGGCCACGTTCACGAGCTTGGAGAGTTTGCACATCGCGTTCGAGGAAGGGACACCCCGCGGCTGTGAGCGCAGCGTGCGTTTGCCGCGAATTTATGCCATCATTGTGGACAGCAGCCTTGAGTTTGTCCGCACGTGTGTTATCAGCCACTGGGCGAATTTTCGCTGTTCGTGTCGGTGCGTTCCGCTCCATTCCGTTGTCCATGTGATGGAACGGGCCTGTGGGATGGAGATCCTGGGAGACGCGCCGGGGCACCCTGCGGTGGCCATTTCTGTGACGCAGGCTTTTGGCCGCTGCGCCCAAGAATGCCCTTGTCTGCCCGTGCTCCCACACAAAGGGTCCCACCGACAAAGTGCGCACAGCCTTGTGGTATTCGCGTTGGCCTTGTGCACAACCGCGCAGTTGCACCACAGAGCTAATATAACATATTATTTTATACTGTTTTTCCAATATTATATTATATTATATTACATTATACTATTTTTCTCATATTATGTGAACGGGCAAGGGTTTGCCACACCAGCACAGTTTGAATGAAAGCGGGCGGAAGCTGCCGCGTGTGGCAAACAAAAAGGCGAACGTTGTTGGCGAGTTTGCGATCAATGGAATAAATTCATCCTGTTGCTGATTTAGCTCTGACCAATCATTCATTAGTCAATATTGACATATAGTATTAATATTGAATTAAGCAAGTACAATGGACCCCTCTTAAAGGAACAAAAACAAACACCAATTCCAAAAGCCGTAAATTGCCTATCTGTGCGTGGCGATGGCGGGACGTGTGCAGTGCACACTGTGCACATGCGTATTCAAAATTTCCATGGTCATCTGTTGAACTGAAAACGTGCTGACAAGAGAATAGGTTCCCAACCGAGAATAGCCAGCTCTTGAGTGGGTCATCGCCGCCTGCCAACGCATTGTCCCACAAACACAGTACTGCAATAAGCACAACGTTCCAGCTCGAGCCGTCCTTTCCCCATTCGAGTATCAGCGTGTCTTTAACCAATGACAATCGCGTGCCCTCTTCCGAGTACTTCTTCGGATCCCAGAAAGGTTTGTCCGTATCCCCACAATTTGTCAATATGTTGACAAATCGCAAATAATATGTTTATTGTTCGCTTTACAGCGCGCTGGGTAAAGGGCGGAATGGCTCCTAGTCCGAGGGGCATGTGGGCGAAAGAATACATGGCTGAAAGGGTGAAAGGTTTTCCTTCAACTGCTGGCACATTAATGTCAAAAATTACTATTATTATTGTCGACAGTATTGTCGTTTGCCCCATGCAAGTCGCCACTCGCGATCTGACAGCGTTCGCTACTTGGGAGAGATGGCAGCCTCAAGATCATGAGCGAAGATTCAGGGCATCAGGTGTTTCAAACCCACTGCGGCTGTTGAAGTCGCAGATCCTAAATTTGTTGAAGGCCAAAATGTCCATTCTCGACCAAGATATATTGGTCACCATACATCGATGTGCGTCGATCGCCCTCGCTTCACTGGGACCAACATGCAGGTGGTGGTCCCCATTGGGGTGTTCTCAAGCGACGGCCGCCATGTGCGTGTGCTGGGAGAGCGGTGGGAATCATGAAAAAGCAACTTTGATTCGGACATCGTCCGGCGAGGCTGGGCGAAAGAAAAATGCGGCTCATAAGCCACTTTGGGGCTTGGGCTGTGCCAAACACTGGAGTGAAGCGGGCAAGATACGAGTGGACCCCGAGGGAGGAGCCTACCGTAGGGTTTTTAGCCCTTCCGCATGGTAACTTAGCGCTTGGCCTTTTTTGCAGAGAAAACAATAAATAAATAACGTTCCCTCAATACAATTTTTGCCGAGCAACGTAAGTTGTAAAAGTAACGCTCTGGAAAACAAATGCGGAGCAAAAAGCATAACGGTAAAATTTTCCGATGGAAGAGGTTTTAAAACCTATGGTAAACATCCGCGGCCGCTTAGCCCTCCACCTTCAAGGCGGTAACATCCAGAGCCCACCCTTGAACGCCTTGGACTCTTACTGACCGAAACGCGACAGGACAGAAGACCGAGGGTCGGGCCCAGATACGTTCCTGCGAGCATGGCTGCCGTTTCAAACCAGGAGCCAACCCTCCCCAGGTTGCCTTTGCAGAATTCCATCAATGAAATGGCAAAACTTAACTTCGTTTGTCAAGCCAATGGCCAGTCCCAACTCCTTGATAGGACGGGATGCTTGGCCAGTAAACGCTGCTTACAAACAGCTGCACAAGCATTTTGAATCAGGTTCGACGCATACTTGACAAACGCAGGCGTCCCAAGGACCGGCACCTGCGTCTCACGTCGTATCACCTCGTCTCATGTCGGCTCACGCCATCTCACGTCGTGCTAATTCACCATTCGCACACAGCGGCCAGCCAGGCGGCCACCCCATCAAAACGCACCGCACTGTCAATAGTGCATCATGCCCACAACTGGGCAGCCCTCAAAATTCAAGGCAATGTACAGGGCAGCACACAAACCCCGCTGCAGGTGGCCTGACAGCCGTCACAGTATTAACCGAGTCAAACTAGGAGGACGGCATCACACTATCACGTTCTGTACATGCACCCGCATACAGTCTGTCATCAAGTCATCATCATCAAAACTAGTGTCACCTGAGCTCTGTGGTATCCGCATTGCGCGGGGGCTGCAAACAGCCCATCTAGCAAGGCAAACACGCATGCAGCCCATGGTCGACCTGCAGGCGAGCTTGCCTCTCAAGAGCAAGATTGCTTTTCACAATAAGTTGACCCTTGCTTGTCCACACATCTCATTGATCGCATCCTGTTCCTCCAAGAAAACCAGTCTTAAGTGGTTCCCAATCCAAAACTGAGCAATCCCCATCACCAAATTTCATTTCGGCAGGTAGTACTACCAGTGCTGCATCCCCAGACTGAGGCAACCTCCCGGCAGCTGACACGAAGCGCAGCTTGGAAACGCCAGTCAACGAGAGCCCAGCATCTGCAAGCACACAACACCCTGCCCATCCAAAGCCCAAACCCAAAGTACATAGGGCATAATGCGGCAAACTGTCATCTGCCGCTGTTACCCTCCCTCCCACTAATTCGAAGCCCCGATACAGAATACAAAGTGCAATACACAGTGGGTGACTACCCACTGATGGGATCGCCCTCTAAGCCCAGGCTAGCAAATTCCAACAGAGCTGCAAAGGGGTCTTGCAAGGATTCCAGCCCCTCACCACACCTACGGCCCGCATCATTCATGCCACCCCCATCCTCAAGGATGGCTACAAATTCGTACAGCACGTCTTCCAGGGCCCTATTATCGTCCATGTGCGCTTTGGCCCTGCTGGCCTTGATCCCATCCTTTGCATACTGCCAGAGGGGGTCGCCCTCAAGCTCCTCACACGTGGTGCGCAGATCGGCCAGCGCCTTGATGATCGGAATGTTCCGTATGGCTGCGCCAGCCACGTCATTGGTTTCGGCGGAGGGCAGCAGGACATGGGAGGTCGTGTCTGCAATGGTGCATGTGATGGGCAGCGCTGCAAAAGGTATGAGGGGGAGAGGCCGCAGGTGAGGTGGCTGGGGCAGCTCCACATTGGCTGCCTTCAGTCTCCCAAACCCTGTGCCACCACAAGCCAATCAGGCATGGTTGTTTGGGCCATTCAGAGATCTACAGGTAGAGGACAGGGACGTGACACTGTCAACAACAGCAGTGCAAACAAGAGTGTCCAGATGCTCAGGGCAGAGAGAACGATGTGCTCCTGTCTGCTTTTCTTACTAATGGCAATAATATGATGTTCAAGGCAGATCTTAGGATGGACCTCATGGGGCCATTCTGTCTTTTCCACTGCACGGGGCAAGAGTCAACAGGTTTGTGGGATGCCTGGCACAAGACTGGGAACAACCAAGACTTTGTACACTTGTTTACAAACACTGTGGTTCGCTTTCTCACTATTGTCTTGCTGAAACTGTAGTTTCCTTTGCGCTTTAGTTCAGGGGTTCAGATTGGACTAACTATTTAACAACTATGATTCCAGTGAAAGAAATTAGAGGTACTGCTTGAACGCCCTTCCTCAGCAAGCCAAGGCATTGTGCACAGGGTCCAGGACTGTTACTACTGTCATGCAGGAGGAATCCCACACAGCATTCACAACTTTGCCCCTTTGTTGTAAGGATAAGAAGTCAATAGGCACTTGTGGACAAATGGATGTGCTTCTAGCAGGCTGTGTACTATGTCTGGTCTGATGATTCAGATTGCTGGAGTGTCTTAACAAGATTTGAGGCTTTGTAAACTGCTACCAAAATCACCCTGCATGACCATCTGTGTTCAGTGAAAATGAGGTGACAACTGTGTAATTTCTTCATGTCACATACAAGGATGCAGTCAGCTATTTGCATAGGTGCATCACCACAGCATTTGGAGCCCATACAGCACACCCAGCCACTGAAGAGTACGCTATCATGAGGGTCAGGTGGACATTGCCAGAGCAAGCCTTCACTTTGCATTGAACAGAGCTTCCCCAGAATTCAGGCACACCAGTCTGTGTGGGCTGTTTGTTGGTGTGGACTTCAGAGCTGAGTCCCCATCCCAGGCTGGTGAAATACAGAAGTAGCATTTAGACCTATATCGATTAGGGGCTGAGCAGCAGGATGGAACACATCTAGACCATTCTGTGTGCGGACTCCTGTCCAAGATTGCCTTTCAGGTAAAAGTGCCGCGTTTTGTCACTGCCAGAAACTGCAATCAACGGATCTGCACAACAGCGTTGGTTGCTGCTGTTGCCGCAGGTGTTGCAGCATCGTTGCCTGTACTCCGAATGGGTGCATCGATACAGCATCAGCTTGTCACACGACACTATTGTGTGATGACGCAGAGCTCATGCAATAATACAGGTCCACAGCATGTGACAGTAGTGGGCCCAATCTCTTTCAGTTGGCTTGAACTTCTAAATATGCTGCACACATTGGGTGCAACGCAAAAGGAAGACAACCCTGAGAGCACACCTGGCAGCGTCAGAGGTTTGTTGGGCACCACTATACGCCCCATCAGAAAGCTGCAGCTTGGCATCGCACCAATACCTACATAGCAACCAACGACTCATGAATTTCAGCTGAAAGCCCAGTGCAATGATGACAGAAGATTGCAGGAAGAACACACCACATTGGGATCATTTCTCCACCCCTGCCCTTAGTAACCAACAAGCTCTTCAAGATGCTTTCCTTAATTTTCAGAAGACTCCAAGTGGATCGTGACCTCCATTAGCACAAGCGTCTGGAAATGCAATAGGCACAGCATGGGACACACAGCCCGCTGTTATGAAACCCTCTTTTCATCCTTTTCTGGTACATGTGCTATCCTGCACCACATGCATTGCCTACCAGCCCCACAGATTACCACATCAGCTTCTATGGATTTCAGTTGCAAAGCACTGCAAGCAATATTGTCCTTGCTGCCAGGAAGGCAGGACATTCCTCTGCCTCAGCCACGATGGTGAACACCCCCCCTCCAGGGAAAACAAGCCCTGTCCTACAAGTGACCCCCTGCCTAGGGTGGGACACGACCCACCTGTTCCTGCCAACTTGCTGGATGTCCCCCCTGGCACCTAGAGTTTCTCAATTTCTTTGCTAAGGACGTAGTTTGTCCATTGCATGACATGCACCCCACGTTGCGATTTGATTCCTCAACACCCCTCTCAATGCCAGGGCAACGAAACACACAAGTGGCCGCAATGTTCGCGCAAGCGTTGCCCAACCCTCCCAACTCTCGCCCATGCTGCCCCCCATTGGCGCAGAATGGTGCCACCCATGGGTGCACTGATTGGCACCCGCGAGTGCCATCAATCGGCCTTGACTCAGACGCCAGGCACTGGCGGCTACCGACCCTGAAGGCCAAGGGGGAGGCTCGCACAGAATACTCGTTCGCGACATTGGTTTCTCTTGGACCTAGACTCTGCAGCAATCTGCGCGTTCAAAAAAATGATGCCGCCGCATTGGGAGCCCCTCCCTATCCCTCCATTCTGCCGGCCGCCAAGGCACCAAGGCTGGCAGTGCTCAATTCGCTGTCCACAGATGGAAATCCGCTCTGGAACACACACCTCCCTTGGCCTCCTGGGGAGGCCTTGGGCCCGGGCCCCACAGCGGACGCACCAGATGGGCTGTCCGCCCGTCCGCGATACGCCAAGTTCGCGGGAATGGCGGGCCGCCGCAGCATCCATCCACCAGACACCTCTCTCGGGAGTCCACAATACTAATTTGAGGTCCCACTGTGCAGCGAAGCTGCATAAAGTACTACAGAAATGGTGACAAGCCAAAAACGGGGCGCTATTGGGGGCCGGGGGCGCTATTAGGGGGCGCTATATAGGGACCCCTATTGTAACAAAAGAAGCATATGCTACATAATGGGCAACCCCCTCCTGGGCTCAATCGTGGCGGGTCTTGTCATGCGTTGTGAAGGACCAGGCAGGAGTCTTCCAAGGCAGGGCGCAAACACACAACGCCACAGCATTCGACCCTGTGCCCTCCTGCCCTTGCTCGATTGCTGACATCATATGCCCCGATCACTACCATCACAGGATACCATTCCACCTCGTGCCATTCAAGCCTAGGCCTCCGCGCACACCCAACTCCCCGCACTCCGCTTCGCTCTTGTCGTTGGTGGCTCCCATCGCAGTGGCAGGCGGATTCAAAACAAGCGCGCTCATTTTTAGCTCAGAAGCTCCAATCCACAACCCATCCTCCAGTGTTCAGAATGCGCTGCGGCCAGTGGCGCGCCCAGCACCGCCTACCCCCGCCGCGGCCAAGACAGCGCGGGCGAAACACACTCCACAATGCCCCCATCGCCCGGGGAGCTAGCTGCCCATCTTGGCGCTCGTGCTGCGCGCATTTCCCTTCGCCTCGGAGTCCATGCCTCCGCCTCCATACCACGGCAAAGCGTCTCGGCGCACTTGCTCAGTAGGGGCTGTCCTTTGTGTGAACTGCTTCTACTTTTCTTCGCAACAAAACCTATCCCCTTTCCCCATCCAGCATTAGGCCCAACACCCCCCGCCGCCGACCCAGGAACAAACTCGCCCTCCGGCAGCCGGCCAGCCGAATCAACTCCCCCAGGTCGCCTAAGACAATCAATTGGCCCGATGCCGCGCCACACTCGGCCTTAAGGCCGCGCGACAGCTAGCGCAAATCGACCCAGCCCCCTCATGTCTCGCTTGCGCACTCATCCTGACCGCGGCCATGCCCGAAAGCAAACGCGAAGAAGTCTTGAAGGGACTCGAACGACGGACAGAAACCCACATCCCGGCCGCCAGCCCGCGCCAGGAGGCGCAAAAACAGAACATGGGCGATTTCCTCCGGTCCGTCCCCACACCTTTCGGGACAACGCGACGCGCGATCGGGTTCCTACCCACCAGCCTGTCATCGACCAATCCCCAGGGCGCTCGGCGTTCAGGCCAAGCCGCGGGCCAGAGCCGCCGCGGCGCCTTCCGGGCTCTTCGCTCAATCGCACGGCCCTCGTCTTCGTCTCTTCAAAGGTGCGGCGTCCAGCTGGGGAATCTTCCCACCTGGCCAGAATTCGACCACCGCCTGTGAACTTGGCGTGCCAACCGCGGTGACGCCCGAGATGAGCGATGGGCGCCCAGAGGGTTGATGGCGTGGGGGAAGGGGGAGGGGGGGATCAGAAATTTCGGGGCCCCCGCGTCTGCCGCCCTCGGGCGGGGTGGTTGGGAGGAGGCCTCCGGGGCGCTTGGGCCCCCTGCCCCAGCACATTTCAGCAGCCGCCGCCACCAGTTTTTTTCAACCCTGAATAATTTTCAGCTCATGAATATTTGTTGAAATTGTTAAACTGCACGTTGTGTTGCACATCGGTTTTTTGACTCTTGGCTTCGCACCGCTGAAGCACCGGACGTGTGTGGCTCCCCCTGCACGCGCTGCTTCTCGGTGGTTCACTGTGAGTTGGCAGCTTTTTGGCTTCCCCTTCCTCGTTCCATGATTTTGATTTCATAGGGATCCTAGCCCAGTATTTACATCAAACTATCAGGCAATGTTCGGGTCGCCAGTTAATGGGGCTCATCAAAAAAGTTAGTGCATAAATGATATCACGCAGCTGGCGACCCGTGAGGTCCAAATATGGTGCAGAGGGGATGTCGACAGCCTCAACACCTTCGCCATACTGAAAATCATCCAGCAGGTTGGCGCTCAATGAGGCAGAAACCCCAAAACATCAATCAGGGGTGCTCTACACATGCACCGAATACGCCCTGGAGTATTGGGGAACACCCAGGTTGCCACTGGACACGTGCGTTTGTTTAGGGGCGGCCTGCCTAGCGGCCAGCCGTGGATTGTGGCGAGACGGATCCAGGAGTGGCGCATTGAGGCGCCATGTGGTTGTTTGATGGGAATATGCCCCGTGGGGCATTACATGGCTGCTGACCACGGGAAGTGTGGTTGCTTGGTGAAAATGTGGCCCTTGGGGCGCACGTGGTGGCTGATTGTGGCCAGTGGGGCATCTTGGGTTGAGTTGTGGTGAAGCGGCGGGCGTGTCAAAAAGATTCTGGGTACCAAAAGAGCATCTCTTAGGAATGGGTGGTATTTTGCCAGAGGGGTGCGGACAGCGCTGTGGGGAACTCTGTATTGTTGCACTCGGCCTGGCAGTTGTAAGAACGGTTGTGCGGCGTTCATGTGTGTCTCTCGTGGTAGCCCAGGCACTCAGCCTGGCTGCCTGGCTCCCCTTGATACGCCGTGTGGGTATTAAAACCCATTAAGGCAATATAGGTTATATTGAGTTCCATTATTGGAACTCTAGATTATTAGAAACCGTCCCTTGTCACTGGTCTAGGGTGACTGGCTTCCCTAGACTATGTATGTAGTCTCAAGCCACGTAAAGTACTAGAACATATAAATATATATATTATACCGTCTTGTAACGGGTGGTCCGGCGTGAGTCATGGTGACTCACGTGCCGTGGCGAGGTGGGTCCACGGACTTAGCGGGAAGGCGCCCACCGTAGCATTAGCCTGTATCATTTGGTTTCGGAGCCAGGCCCCCAAGGCCTGGCCCTTCCACCCGCGCGCTCGCGCGACACACCGCGAAAGCAACCCGGCCGCCGAGCCCCGAGGCTCGGCGGGCCGAAGCCCGGGCATCCCCGCGGATGTCCGGGGAAATTCCGGGGCCATCCGGCCCCGATGCGCCCTCTCCCGGCCGTAATGGTGGGGAGAGCGGCGAGGTGCCATTCCCCGCGGAAGGCACCGGAGCCGAGGGCGGATCGCCACCCTCCGAGGCCGCAGAGCTGCGCCGCCAACTCGCCGACCTGGCGAGCATGCTGGCGGACACCAACACCCGCCTCCAGCGGATGGAGGAGGCGGCAAAAGGGGGGACCCGGCGGGAGCACCGGCGACGCGATCCTTCGGGATCGTCGGCCGAAGGCGGAGGCAGGAGGGCGCCCAAGGCGCCGAGAAAGAGCCCGAAGGGGACGGACCCTGAGGACTCGGGGAGCGACGGATCGCAGCCAGAACCCGGGGAAATCGAGGAGGACAAAAAGGGCGGCCATGGCCAGCCCGCCCCGGTTCGAGGAGTGAAGGCGCCAGGTGAAACCTCCCGAGAAGGGAGGCGCGATTCGACGCGCGAGCCCGCAGCAAGGGAGGCCCCTCCAACGGCCTCGCGGCCCACCGAAAGGGCCGCCGAATTGGTCGAGCAAGCGGCGGGTACCGGGCCCAGCGAGGGGCCATTGTCCGCCGCCGCAATTTCCCAGGCCGTCGCAATTGGAACGGCCATAGCCGCGGCGATTCGAGCCAATCAAGGCCCCGAGCGCGAAGTTGTGGACCTCACCGGCGCGCAAGCGGGACTGGACAAGATTGACGCCGAAATGGCCGACGATTTTCAAGTTCAAGAGTTTGGTGCGACGGGCCATTCCGCGGAGCCCGAATGGGCCGCGGAGTGGGCGGAATGGAACGCGCCTCCGGCCCCGATCCAAGGGGGCCCGGAGGTTGCTGCTTGGTACCCGGGAGCGGCCGGTCCCCAGGAGGCCTACGCGGCCTACCCGGGCTGGCCTGTCCCCGGCGATCCCGCGCCATTTCCGGC